TTTAGTTTCAGCAGGAGAGAGGGAAATGAAATTATTTAGGGGACAACTTTGCTCTCTATAGTACCCAAATTGAAAGTTTAACTTGATTTTCTACTGCAAACAAAATTAGTATGCTTTCAGGATTTTCCTAAGAAAATTAAAATACTGACTAAATCAGAGTAGGAGAATTTTTACATAATTTAAAAACAAGATTGCATTAGTAATACATTTTTTAAAAACTCTGAGTTTCGGTGTAAAATTCATACTTCAACACTGAATCTTTATCTAAGGATTTGGGTTTTTTTTTTTTTTTTAATATATTGATTTCATTGCTTTTCCTGTCTCTAGGATGGTTACTTTGGTTCACCTCTTTTCCTTAGCAACTTTCCCTCAGACATTCCTTTGGTTATGACTGCAGAAAGCGGGCCAACCTACAACTTCTGGACAGCAATACCGTGATGTACATAGCTGGGAACCAGCTGATCCTTCTAAATTTGAAAACCAAGGAACAGACTTACCTGCGAAGTAGCAGTGGCAGAGGAATTGGTGTCATTGGGGTATGTCTTTACTAACTTAGAAAAAAAATTCTTTGTTCTGTAGACCAGCTGGACTGTGAGGTGCCAGGGCCACATGCAGTACTGTGGGATTACATAAGATGCACAGCAGTCTTTAAGGCATTTTCTTGAGCTATATACATACATTTTATTTTTGTTTATTACCAGGTTCCAAAACAGTCACCTTTAGAACTTAGCTTGAAAAGGACGCAGCTTTAAGTCAACTGGAGATGGTACGAGTCTAAAAGAGGTAGACATAGAAAACTTAGATGTTAAAAATAAAACTCTACAGAGAACTTATTTTGTGCCATAAATTCTAAATATATGTATGCATATAATGAGTTTAAAAATCTCTTTGAAGTCTTTGAGTTAATTTCATCCTCTATGTGAGTAATCTGTGGTAGTAAATATGTGGATTTCAATTCCATGATTGCAGCCACTGCTTTCACTGACATTATCCCATGCAATAGTACACTATTATATTAATAATACTATCATCTCATTTTGCAGATAAGGAAACCAGGGCTAATAGAGGTTCAGTGACTTCCCATAGTCATGCAGGTTTTTCACACTGAATGGTATGTTGCTATTCTGCAAAAACACTGTGGTGAATAACACAAATGATAATTCACATATGAATTAGAGCTAAATGCCAGGTAAGATGTGAACATAAGAGTTGAACATTAGAGATGAAGTACAGATTGCACACTCACTAGTTTCGAGCAGTTGACAAAAGGATCTGTGTGTGATTTGGAGCCTCTCTTCATCCTCAGGTGTCTGTCTCCATCAGTCCTCATCTTTGGGCTTTACTCTACTTCCTTGGGCTTTCCATCCTCAGCCCAAAAGCAAACTAAATCAACTTGTTCTCAGTTTAAAAGGCCCCTCTCTGACCACACATTCTCTTTACCCAATGACCTTTAAGCTTTCATCCAAAGCCAAACATCTGCTGTCTGTTTCCCCATCACCTCACTAAGGTGACCAAAGGCCCTCTTAGTAGCCAAATCTGAAGAATACTTTTCTAATTACCTGACCTCTCTGTAGCAATGGCCCCACAACTGAGCTTTACTCTTGGCTGTTTTTCTACTCTGCTCCTTAAAGCAGGTGTCCCTAGATCTACTCTCACCAGTAACCAATGGCCTGAGGGATGCCTCTCGGTGTCACTGGAGTCATGAGAGGACCATCCGTTCAGATGAGGCTGAGAGAAACAATGAGGGAAAGGAGGAGAAATATACAGGATTGGGGGCTCAAACAAGCAGCAGTTCCATATGAGATGCTCAAGAGGGTTTCTAGAGGGATCGGATCCATATAGCAACCCCCCCAACCCTTCCTGCTGGGTGTGAGCAGACCAGAAGGAACTAGGAGGTGCAGGGCCCACTTCACAGCACGATGCTGAGGCCAGGGCTTCTGGCAGAAAGGCTGATGTGGCTTCAGCAGAGAGAATGGGCCAAGCCTGCAGGAAGCAGTGGGAAATAGTTTGATCAGGTTAGATTTAGTTGTGAAGTGGAGGTGAGTGAGGAGGTTTTGAAGATTCTTGATCTGGGGAGTGAAGCAGGGACATGGCAATGGGATGGAGAAGATGAGGAAATCTGAGACCCCAAAACAGGACTTAGATTGCCTAAGGATGTGGTGAGATGAAAGAGTCAAAGATAATCTCAGGTTTGTTTCCTTCTTGATCATCTATCTGGAGATAGCATGTGTATATAATTAAGTCTTTGTCTTCAGGGAGTTTGTTATAAGATGAATTAATGAATTCAGCAAGAATTTATTATATAAAACTCTGTAGCCAATGCTCAAAACATGCAGGGATTCAGAGGAAGAAGGGTTCATGACTCCTGTGAATTCAGAGTTTAAAATCCATCTAAAGAGACAGGATCCATATTAAAAAGCGAAAAACCCCAAGGCTAGATGTATACAAGTACCTGGTACTGTGGGACCAGCTGTTGCAAATATTCATGGGCCCAAGGTGAGGGTCACGGGCTCTCTGGAGGGAAGTCAGTCGGGGCCATCTTGGGGTGTCATGAGCCCTGGAGTCCACACCATCTGCAGAGGACTCAGCAATATCTAACTCACTTGTTTTTCTATCACTTTATGGCCAACAGGAGTTTTGGAATGCCCATTTTACTTTGCTATCTGATAATTTGGCTTGAGGTCAGTGCTTAGGGATGTAGTGAAGTCAAGAATGTGGTCAAGAATGCTCACCCTAAACTGTACCCCCTGGACTCTGAGCACTCGTGTGTCCACGGGGCTCGTCTCCATGTGTGCTGGGGCTTCTGGAGCCTAGATCGTGACAGGGGCCTTCCTCCACTGCCCACATTGCTTCACTTTTTCTGAAACAGTTATCTATTTGTGGATGAGAAATTCTTCCGTGAGGCTATGAGAAACCTGTGAGAAATGTGTTCTGGGGTATATAAACTATCTTCCAGAAAAGATAGGGTGAATCTATATGTTGAGTATGACTATGAGTATATAATGACTTACTGTTCCAGGTCTCCACTAAAAATAAAGCAAAACAACAAACCCAACCCCACAGCAGCTTCTGATCTGGAAGAGCAGAAATATTTTTACTTACTATAGACAAGACCTAAACAGGTGAAAGATTTGCCTGAATGCCCATTCATATTTCTGTGACCCCCATATCTTAACAGAATATTCTCTTGTAAATGGGGAATCTAGAAATGTCTTAATGTATTTTTCACTAAATTCTTAGAATCTACTATTTGTTGTTGGTAGTGCTGGAGGTACTGAGGATTGAACCCAGGACGTCATGCTTGCAAGGCAAACACCCTGCCCCTGAGCTATACCCTCCCCTCGAACCTACTACTTTTTAGTTCCATTTTCTTCTTAGCCCCAACACCTGGCTTGAATCCACGCTCTTGCATTTACCAGCTGTATAACTTCAAGCAAGTTACTTAACCTCTCTTTTCCTCAGTTTCCCCATCAATAAGGTGGGAATAAAAATGATATACAACCTCACAAGGTTGATGTGAAATTTAAGGAAATTAATTCATGTAAAACTTAGTGTCTGGTACATAGTAAGCACTCAATAAATGTTATCTGTTTTCAACATTATCATTATCTCACTGAGTATCCATCCTATAAACACAAGCCTTGTTCCAGCTTACCAGTTGGAAGACAGCCTGTATGGGTCCTAGGTTCCCACATGTGGAGGGATGAAAAAGAGCAAGAACCTAATCTTGGGTACAAGGACTTCCAGTGCCCTCTGTGCCCGAGAATACTCCCTTAGGTATATAATCAGGAGTTGCAAAATGGTAACTGAAAGTGGAATTTTATAAATGTGTGTTTTAAATAGCTTTTCTTATAACAGCCTATTTTTATTTTTATTTTTTGGCTACTCATTTACTCTTCCTGCACATTGGCAGGAATAAACAAAAGTAACAGAAGTGAACCTGTGATTCCATCCAATTTATATGGCTATCACTGAAATGCTGACACAAGTAGTTTGTCAGGGGCTTATTTACTGTATTTTCCTCTACTTCTGGCTTGGAAATATTGTGTCTTTCACACTTCCACTAAGTTTACATCCATTTCTGGTAAGTTTGTCCAAGGTGAAATTTTAGAAATTGTGATGTAACCTACTCTGGAAATATGAATTTTTTAATTCAGATATGTAAGTTGATTTATATGCAGGGTAAACAATTCATCTAACTCAGCTGTTCTCCAAGAGTTGCCCCCCGCCCCAACCCCGAGCCAGCAGCATCAACGTCACCTGGGAACTTGTTAGAATTGTAACTATGAATTCTCAGGTCCCAGCCCTGATTTACTAATCAGAAACCTGGTGTTAAGGCTTGTAATCTGAGCTTTAATAAGCCCTCCCTGTGATTCTGATGCCTGCTCAATGTTCTAGCTTCTTCTGATGGCAATTTTTAAAATTGTAGAGTTAGACATGCCTCTATTAGTGAAAGTGAAACTTAAATGAGTATTCTTCTAGTTTTCAGTTTAAGTTATATTCATTGTCAAGAATTTGTTAGATGCCCAGTTTATTTTTTTTATTAAAGTATAGTCATTTACAATGTTGTCAATTTCTGGTATACAGCATAATGTTTCAGTCATATATAAACATACATATATTCATTTTCATATTCTTTTCACCATAAGTTACTATGAGATATTGAATATAGTTTCCTGTGCTATACAGTATAAACTTGTTGTTTATCTATTTTATATATATTAGTATCTGCAAATCTTGAACTTCCAATTTACCTCTTCCAACCTCCTTTACCCCCTGGTAACCATAAGTTTGTTTTCTATGTCTATGATTTTGTTTCTGTTTTGTAGATAAGTTTATTTGTGTCTTTTTTTAAGATTCCACATATAAGTGATATTATATGGTATTTTTCTTTCTCTTTCTGGCTTACTTCACTTAGAATGATGATCTCCAGGTCCATCCATGTTATAGGAAAAAGATGCCTAGTTTTGAGTTTTCTAGTGGAGTTGATCCTAATAAATTATAAAATAACAGATACTAAGTACTGTATTAATAGAACTGTTTATATGACAATTTCCCTTTTAATACTTTAGTGAGATTTTATTTTTTATAGGTTCACCCATATAAAACTTGCTTCACAGTAGCAGAGAAAGGAGTTTTCCCAAAGATTATCATTTATGAATATCCTTCTTTGAGGCCCTACAGAATCCTTCAAGGTGAGTCCAGTAGAATCTCTAAAATAGCCCATGTTCAAGGTTAACAACATTCTGAAGATGTAACATTGTTGTAGTAGTCAGGTTCCTCCAGAGAAACAGAACTAGTAGGAGGTAGAAGAGAGAATTATTCAAAGGAATTGGCTTATGTAATTTTGGGGGCTGGCAGGTCAGAAGTTGACAGGGCAGGCTAGCAGTCTGGAAATTCTTGGGCAGGAATTGATTCTACATCTTCAGGCAGAATTTCTTCTTCCTCAGGGAAACCTCAGTTCTGCTTTTAAGTGGTTTCAGCTGATGAGATGAGGCCCATCCTGGTTATCAAGGATAATCTTTAAAGTCAACTGATTAGAGATGTTGACCACACCTACAAAATACCTTCATAGCAACATCCAGGGTGGTGTTTAATTGAATAGTTGATACTGTAGCCCAAGTATCTTACAATTCTGTTTTCCACATAATTAATTTCAGCAGTTGGTTTTTAGGAAGGATTTTATTTTCAGAGCAGTTTTAGGTTTACAGTAAAATTGAGAGGAAGGATCAGAGATTTCTCATATACCTCTCCCCTCACACATGCATAGCCTGCTCATCAACACCACGTCTCAGAATGGCGTGTTTTCACCAAGGATGAGCCAACAGTAATGCCATAACCACCCAAAGTCCTTAATTTCCCTTAGGGTTCCTTTTCGTGTTGTATATTCATTTAGACAAATGTATAATGATATCTGTCCCTCATTATAATATCATTCAGAGTATTTTCACTGTCCTAAATACCATCTGTGCTCTGTCTGTTCATAACTGCCCTGTGCCCCCTTGGCAACCACTGACCTTTTTATTGACTGTATAGTTTTGCCTTTTCCAAAATGTCATATAGTTGGAATTATATAGTATATAGCCTTCTCAGGTTGGCCTTTTTTACTTAGTAATGTGCATTTCAGTTTCCACTATGTCTTTTAATGGCTCAATAGCCATTTCTTTTTAGTGCTGAATAATATTCCATTGCCTGTAGGTACTACATTTTATGTATCCATTCACCCATGAAGGGGCATCTTAGTTGCTGTCATTCATTTCACTTATATATAAGCTTATCTGTAAGCACACATTTTACTTATACACAAGCATATATATGTATATATATACACACATACGTAAGCATACATAATCTAATACATTGTTGCTTTTATTTGGAACAAACTCTTATCTTACATCAATTAAGAATAAGAAAAAGGTTTTATTTTACCTTCATATACTCCTTTAACGCTTTTCCTTTTTTTATCTAGATCCAAATTTCTGACATTTTTCTTCTAAAGAACTTTTAACATTTCTCATTAGGGAGGTCTCCTGGCAACAAATTCCCTCAATGTTTGGTGGTCTGTGAAACTCCTTATCCATCATTTTTGAAAGATAATTTTTCAGGGTGCAGAATTCTAGGTTGGTGTTTTTTTTTCCTTTCCTTTTAACACTTTAAATAATTTCACTCCACTCTTCTTGCTTACATGATTTCTGAGGAGAAGTCAGATGTAATTCTTATCTTTGTTCTTCTATGGATAAGATTTTTTTTCTCTTCTGGCTGTTTTTTTTTTTCTTTCAGTATTTTTTCTTTGTCTTTCATTTACTGTAGTTTTTTTTTTTTTTTTTTTTGGCATTTATCCTGGTTGGTGATCTCTAAGCTTACTAGATCTGCAGTTTGGTATCTGACATTAAGTTGGGAGAAATTCTCAGTCATTATTATTTTAAGTATTTCTTATGTTCCTGTCTCTCTTTCTTCTCCTTCTGGTATTCCCATCACACATATGTTACACTTTTTGTGTTTGTCCCACAGTCCTTAGCTCTTCGTTCTGTTTTGATCAGTCTTTGTTCTCCTTGCTCTTTGGTTTTTGAGGATTCAATTGAGACACCCTGTAGCCAAGAGATTCTTTCCTCAGCTGCGTCCAATCTAGTAATAAGCCCATCAAAAGCATTCTTCATCTGTGAGAGTGGTTTTTAGCTCTAGCTCTTCTTTTTGGTTCTTCTTAGGGTTTCCATCTCTCTGCTGACATTGCCCATCTATTCTTGCATGTTGTCTACTTTCTCCATTAGTGCCCTTGGTGTATTAATTATAGTTGTTTTAAGTTCCCAGTCTGATAATTCCAACATCTATGCTGTGTCTAGTTGTGATGCACGCTCTGTCTCTTCAAATTGCCTTTTTTTGCTTTTTGGTATGCCTTGTGCTTTTTTCTTGATAGCTTGCTAGACGTGATGTACTGGGTAAAAAGAACTGCTGGAAATAGGCCTTTAGTGTCCTTGTGGTGTGGGGGAGGGGAAGCATTTTTTTAGTCCTGTGATTAGGTCTCAATTTTTTAGTGAGCTGGTGCCTCTGAACTGTGAATTTCACAAACATTTCCCGGCATTTTTCTTCCCCCTTAAGTGGGACAGGACGGTGAGAGTGGGCTGAAGTTGGATGCTTACTCTCCAGGTCAATCAGGCTCCGGTTAATTAGTTTTCCCTGAGCGTAGACCTTATTAAGGAGAACAGAATGCTCGGGTGTATTTCAAAATGGCTCCTTTTCCTTTCCCTCTGCTGGAAGCCTGGGGGGATTTTTTGAGATTTTTTACTGCAGGGATCTGGTCAAGCTCCTGGAGGAGCTCACAATCTCACAATATTGTTGGGGGCACCTTATGACTGCGTCCCTCTGGAGTTTTTAACTCTCAGGCTTGTCCACGCTGAGGCTACAGCAAATCATCAGATCTAGTTGAGGCTTTACTGCCGGGCAGTGGGTTCCTTGAGCTGTTCTGGCTGTTTCTGCTTGTAAGTCTCCGCTCTGGTAAGTTGTAAATCCCTGTATTCACTGGTTGGTCTTTCTAGTCTGGGGGGCAGCGGTTTGCCCTGTGTCCTTCCCTCTTGTAGATCCAGGAAGAGCTGTTGATTTTTCAGTCTATTTAGCTAAAAAGTTGTTTTGTTAGGCTGGAATGGTGGCGTCTAAGCTCTTAACATGCCTAACCAGTAACCTGAAGTCGTTAATTTTTGTTTTGTGATGTTTTCAGTGGCAAATTTTAAATGCTGATTTCTTTCTGCTATCTAGCATGCTTTTCTGTCCTGGCTTCATAAAGTGGAGTATGTTCTCAAAGCGTTTTCCTCATGTAAAATGTGATTAAAAATTCTTCATCCTCACCCCTCATACATGTAATTCATTCTAAAGCCAATGGTGGTGAATGATTTTGGAATTGTTTCTTTAGGGGATTCTTGATCTTCTTCCATCAATGCACATCACCGAGGGTGCTCTCTCTTTTTCCCTCTTTTTTTTTTTTTGATAATATCCTTTTGAAAATTAAATAAATGCTGCCCCTGTGCATTAGACTCCTATTCATCCTTTCATCCTCTCAGATGGGACTGAGCTGGCCTATGCTTACGTGGACTTTAACTACGATGGTACCCTGCTGGCTTCTGTTGGCGGCAACCCCGATCACACACTAACCATCTGGAACTGGAAAGAAGAGCAGCCCCTACTGAGGACAAAAGCTTTTTCCCAGGAAGTGTTTAAGGTTACTTTCAATCCTGAAAACGACGAGCAGCTTACTACATCGGGATCAGGCCACATCAAGTAGGTTGTGTGACAGAGAACAGGTGCTAGTAGTTTATCGTAAGGGTCTTTGCTAAGAGGATTAAACAGCTGGAGACATTTTTGCTGATGTTGTTAACAGGATTTTTTTATTGTGTTATTTTAAAAAACTGTTGTGCAGCTTTTGTAATTGGAAATGGGGATTTTATTGCTGAAGACAGTGCAGATAAAGGCTTTTAAATTTAACTTGCTGACTTCTTGTAGGCTTCTCTTCCTAAAAGTTTGTATAATGTATTAACGTTGGCGTGCTGTGTCCAAGTTCATATTGAACTTTCAGATCCTCTATTAAATGTGGTGTAGCAATGCTGTGTGATGGATAAGTCATCTTGTTGTCTCTGAACTCAGTCTTCATTTGTAAAACAAGAATTATAAAAGAATCATTTCTGATGCATGGACCTTCAATACTAAATGGCAGCAGGGTTTACTCGTGATTTCAGGTCTCTAGGTCTTTTTCACCGTATCATACACTGGTCTTTTTTCAGGTTGGAGTGATTTTGTTCTTTAAGAACCTTCAAGCACTACTCTCCAGGTGCCCATGACTTGATTCCCAGTGTCTTTATGAGAAAGACATTTTTAACTATCCTAAATCCTTTTTATTCCAATTTAAACCTGGCGTTTTTGAAATACAGAGTAATTGAACAGATCCATTTAAAAAATCTTGGAATTGTCACTAACTCTGCTAGCTATAGATTAAATTCTAACTTACCTTCTCCCATCGCTTACTAAAGTGCATATTTTCTGTCTACTATATATTTTGGGGGAAAGATAAATGTTGAACAATGTGCGGTGTGTGTGATGTGCTATCAAAGAAACAGAGGAAATAGAAACAGATGACCAGGGGACCTGCCATAGCCTGGGAGAAGGGCGTTGGTCATTTAGGCTCCTGGCTTCATGTTATTGGCTGTTGATAATTGTCCATTATCTATTTTACATCCAGTTGATAGGTCAGACTATTTTTTTTTACATGGTTTTCTTCATTCTAACTATTCACTTGTTGAGGCTACGAATTAGAAAATGTTAGCAATACTAACATTTATTGATTGCTTTCATGTGCTAGGTACTGTTCTAAGAGTTTTTCAACAGTTTTACAAGGTTGGTGCTACTAATATTCTCATTTTATACGAGAGAGTGAAGGCATAGTGTGATAAAAAAAAATCACTGAAAATTACACAGCGAGTAAGTTAGAATTTTTGTGAAAACCTTCACATCCTCTAAAGCAGTACTGTGCAGTAGAACCTTCTTCCAGGGTGGGAATGTTCTGTGCTGTCCCATCTACTGGACTCTAGCCACATGTAGCTATTGAAAACTTTCAACTGGCTGGTCTGAATGACACACCAATTTTTAAATTTTACTTAATGTTATTTTAAATTAAAATGATCAAACTTGTGGCTATTGCATAGGACAACACAACTTAAAAATATAAGATTTACAAAGGCAGGGAATTTGGGTTTTTTTTTTTTTTGGTCTATTTTCGCTCAATGCTGAATTCATATTGCCTAGAACTTTGCCTGACAGGTAGTTGATAATACATGTTAGTTGAATGAATAAATGAAATAATATGTGACTCTGAAATATGTAAATGTCCAAGTGACGCTAAAATTAAAGTAAATAAAACTTCTCTGAGGTACATTCAGTCTCTTATTTGTTTGCAGGTTCTGGGAAATGGCTCTAACATTCACTGGCCTCAAGCTTCAGGGTTTCTTGGGTCGATTTGGTAGAACAGCCACTACCGATATAGAAGGTTACATGGAGCTCCCAGATGGGAAGGTGAATATAGCCACTATTCTGTAATAATAAAATTGTTTTCAAGTGATATACATATATGAAAGCACATCACACAGTCTAAAAA